GTGTATAGATAAAACCAATCTCAAGGAGTTTAAACTTTGGATGCTTGTTGTGTTCACAGATACATGTTTAGAGATATATAGTTCCTCAAAAGAAGAGACAATATTCTTAATGAATAAAAGGCTGAACTAGGTTGTAGGGTTGTGCAATTCGGGTAAACCGTGATCTGTTTTGGTGTCCCGAATTTTGGTGGGGCCCCCGATCTGTTTTTTGGGAGCCTTCCAATTACGGGAGGACAGAAATCCATTTTTGATCCAAAAAAAGTCAAAAGATTTGTTTTTGATCTAGCCCATTGGCGGCAATGGGGGAGACTTCCTAGGCTCCCCTTCCAATTAGTTTAGGCATTGTTTGTTCTTTCATCCTTTTAATCTAGTTCTTAAAGGACTTAATAAAGCACCAGAGTTAAGATATCACTCTTTCTGGGATTGTTTGTGCTTATATCCTTCATTAAGAACTTGATTAAAAGCACCAGAGTTAAAATACCACTCTTTCTGGGATTTAAGGCAAAGGCTTAAGAAAACATCCCTTCTTGGGATTCTTTCCCTTCCATCTTTCAAGGAGATCTAGATTTAAGGTAAGGAATTAAGAAAACACCCCTTCTGGGAACCTCTTTCTTCTAGCGGCTGCCTTCCTCACTGCACTCCATGTGTAGCTGAAAGAAACCAAAAGTAGCCATTTGTCAGTAGCCACTGTTCTGTTGCAACTGAAAAAAAATGGCTGCGGAGCTCTTGTCGTTACAAGAGTCCAAATAAACTGAAAACCGTTTTTTAAGGCACAACCCTACTAGATTGTTCAGATATCTTGAATTCTCTCTTGCTGTTTGGGAAGCTTTAGTAAGTCTGCTGTTTGTTGAGTAAAGGTACTGTAAGTTATAGACAGATTGCAATGAACTAAATTTAATAATCCATTTTAAAGACTTTGTGATGTTTCAGAAACATCACAAAGTACTGGAGCCATGATAAAAAATAGACAGACAGACATACTGTCACATATGGAACTATATTAAATTTTATTATATAGATACAATAAGATGATTGCTATTTCAGTGTCAATACTTCTGTCTTATTGCAATATCATCTCCTATTTTCTTTTTGTTCTGTGCCTTTGAGCTGTTTCTGATTTATGGCAACTCTTGGGTGAACCTATTACTGGTTTTTCTGGGCAAGATTTGTTCTGAGAGGATCAGCCTTTGCCTTCGCCTGAAGTTGAGAGAGTGAGACTCACTTAAGGTCACTCAGCAGTTTCCATGGCTGAGCAGGAATTTGAAATCTGGTTTCCAGAATTGTATTCCAGACCTCAACTACACAATACTGGCAAGTTCCATCAGTATGTCCTATTGAGTTAGTTGTGCATGTTATCTGATTATAAGATTGAAAAGCAAGAACAAAACCAGTAGCACTAATCTACTCCAGAGAGAGTCAAAAGTGTGAGAAATTGCCCCCTTCTCTAAGGGGCTATTTGGGGGCTATTTTCTCATTTTATTTTCAAGAGTGGGCATCAGGATGTCAACCCATCCCCCTAACTTGCAACAGTTTCCTTCTGATTTAAAGAGTTCCTTAAAGAAGAGTGTTGCACCACTTCATCAGTCCCTCTATGGAACATATTTCAACTCCACAAAGTAATTGGAAAACAGTCTTCTCTTCAACCATTTATAAAGTCAGAAAGCAAACAGCCTTCACCTTATTGGCTCTACAAAGTTTAAAATGTGATTCATTGTGCTGAGTGCCTTCCTTTTTCCCCTTTTTTATGCAATGGAGTGGCCAAATATTTAAAGTTCTTAGTCTGGTCGATATTAATATAATTAATCTTCCACTTAGGAACTCCGAGCCTCCTGGCAAAGATAGTGATTTTAGTTGTAGCCTAGTCTTATTTAGAGACAGATGTTCTTAGCATGAACGTCCTCATTGTGCAATCCTAAACATGTTTTAAAAGGATGTATGTACACCAGATCTTGCTGCCCATCTTCCTGGGTTCTTCTGGTTGTTCCTAGAGATAGACAGAACGGTGTGTATTGCACAACCTGTCCTAAACAAACTGCTACCTTTGTGTGCAGTGAAGAATGCTCTCCCATCATCATTTATGAAGGTTCAAAACGGTTTGAATAATGTTTAGTCAATTTGGTCATTTAAGATTGCATGTGAAGTTAGAATTAAAATACAAATAAAGAGATAGAGCTGAAGAGTAGCCAAAGGATATGGCAGAAAAAATATGAAAGCTTGATAAAACCATGTTGCTTAGGTAAATCTTAACTGAAATAGAAAATCCTCTTTATGTTCACAAAGATCAAATAGGCAGACTGGATTAGCAGAGCCAGTCCAGAGCATGCAGATAAGTAACTTTCTTGGATACTGCTGTAATCTATTATTGTTTGCATGGGACAGTTACAAACAGATCCAATTTCATTTCAGGTTGGGGAAGAAAAAGGAATAAAAAGGAGGTGGCATCATCTTTAAGATGGAATTGCTTGTTTTGTCTTGGGCTCAGTCTCACAAATTTAACTGTCACTTATAAAAAAGTATGGCACAACAACCTATGCCTAACTCTTATTTGGAATTGCTATTCATCAAATTAATGAGGTATTAATTTTGGGCCTTGAATTCTCTGCTTGCCCAAATGTTTTGAGACCTGCCTTTAGGTACAGCAAAGAGATAACTTTAAATTTCTTGCATCCAGCTCAAGAGTATTTCTAATGCAGTCAAGTGTGAGCATTCACCTTTAAATACCATTGGCACAACACGTTAGCCTTTAACAAGTCTGTAGCCCTAGGCACCACTGGCATTAAACAACTCATGACAAACCAACAAAGCAGAAAGCTGTGTCTAGTCCAGCTTGGCCGGAGGTCATAGGGTAGAATACTGAATGAGGATTCTACTTTCTGTAGTTGTCCAATTTTGCTGATTCAAATCTTCTCTGAGGAGCTGGCAAGAAAAAGCCTTCTTATTTGTCACATTGCCCACACCTGGAACCCTCCTGTGTACTGAATATTAAGTAGAAGTTGCACAGAAAGTCTGAAGCCATACAATCCCCAGTGGAGACTGAGCTCCTCTTCATTTACAAGACGATGTCAGGTTTTCCTGCAGTGAAAATGAGACAAGGTTCCCCAAGGAACACAATCTGTATGTAGGATCTCATCCTTGGAATGAAGAGAATGAAAGTGAACTGGCTATAAATAAACTGTCATATCCCACTGGTGACATTTGCTAGGAATATTGACAAGGCAGGTTGTTTTGCAGCAGTGTGGCAAATGAAATGGGCTGAGCCAGAGTACACTAGCTCTCTGATAAACACTTCTAGCCCTCACAACACCTCTTGGGGAAACTGTTGTGTGACAAGGATCACTTGAATTCTAGGATGAACATTTTCTTGTATACGAAATCCTGATGTTCAAAATGCAGAAATATTTCCCGTTTGCTTATTGATTTTCAAAAATATTTTGAAATTGTGAGTTTGAATAACTTTGAATAACTGCACTTTCAGAATGCAAATTAACTTCCTTGAACTGGATTATATAAGCCTACACTTGCATATAATCCAGTTCAATGCAGTTAATTTGCATCCTGAAACTGAATATCATGGGTATCACTCTGACCTACCTCAATCTTGGGGTACACTGGCTGATTTCATTGTTTAGTCATTGTTATAATAACAGAAGCGTACTCCTCCTTGTATCTCAAATGATTTTAACCAGTGTAGCGTTGCATTGAGGTGCAGTCAAAAGTGTGCCTTTGACAAGAGTAAAGACTAGAATATATTGCTGAAGTTCCTTTTTGTGAGACCTATGGCAACGGCTTATCAAACAGAGGAGATGGTGCTAGAAAAGGATTGACAAAATTATTGCATGGGAGAATCTGAAAGCTCCAGGAATTATTTAATGTGCATTACATTACAAAGGCTTTCACAAGTAATTCTGTGCTCGTAATTATGCTTCTATGAAGTCAATGCTCAAGGTGTGGGTATGAGAGTGAGTCATAGGTTTAGTGCCTTCTGAGGTTACTAATAGTTGCATACACGTTACATGAGTCAGATCATTTATTTATTAGCTTCTGTCATCTTTGTCATTGCTAACTCCTCCATCCTCTCCCTTCATCTGGCACTTAAGACAATCTTGCTCTCAGTGCTGACAAGATCCTTTGTTAACTACTCTATGCCAGATTACCCCCTCCTTTCAGAGAAAACTGGTTGCAGTTTTGAACTGATGATCTGGCTTGCATAGTTCCCAAGAAGGCAAGGTTCTGCTGCTTTATAACTTCCCCAACTCAGATGTTCCTTCCCTTCCCTTTAATCTTTTATTATAAAAGAAATCAGTCAAATAAAAACTTCAACAGTGAACTCAGCTCTATGAATCTGATCCATGTAAGATACATCCATCTGTAAGAATTCCTTGCTGCATTCTTAACCCTCATTTTTTGGGGACAAAAGAGTTATGAGACATTTTCTGCCCCCCAATGAGAATCCCAATGTATATTGAGAAAGTTGTGGACTTGGGGTCAAGGTACAATGAACACTTCTAGTATTTTCTGACTTCAATGTCAATCAAAATGTCCCCCTGAAGAGAGTCAATATATTGACAGCCAGAGTACAACACTGTTTCATTACTGTGTCATGGTGTGTTCTTGTTTGTGTTCAGGTGTTTCTGATTTATGGTGAACCTATCATGGGATTTTCTTGGCAAGTATTCAAATTTGAGTGTATCGGGTATTTGTGCCAAATTTGGTCCAGTGAGTGAAATATCAAATATTTACATTACAATTCATAACAGTAGCAAAATTATAGTTATGAAGTAGCAATGAAAATAATGTTATGGTTGGGCATCACCACAACATGAGGAACTGTATTGAGGGGTCAGACATTAGGAAGGTCAAGAAGCAAAATTTTGTTAATTTCTAGGTAAAGAACTCCAAAACAATTTACTAGGGTTTTCCAAATGGTTTTGGATTCCTGGTTCTGAAATGTTAGTAAATTGTTGCCAAAAAGCAATTCGAATTCTCATTCCTACCTACAGTAGCTGGGATGCAATATGTTAATAACACAATATGTTTGAGACCAGAAGAAACTGTGTGCACCCAGGTAGAATGGATATCCTTAACAGAATTCACACAGAACGAAACCTAGCAAGGTAGGTATTCTATAATATAATCATCTAAACCAGTGTTTCTACATGTTCCTGTGAAGAAGAGATTAAGATGTTGAAATTTTTTAGGCTAATAAACAGGACATCTTCTGAGCATGTTTCAAGTGCATTTTAATGGATGTTCACACACCCATTGCAATAAGTGGGTGTTTTTCTTGTGATATTTTAGCTATCATCCCATTTAATAATTGTTCCTAGTTTTATATATACTTCTAGATTTTAGCTACCAGTTCCAGAAGTTAGTTTTCTTCTAAAGCCAGTTTGTGATGTCTTCTTTGTCCACAATTTCAGGAAGATAGTTTTAACTTCAGGAAGATAGAAATTAAGATCACTTTCTTTGCTCCAAATCTCAAATCCTATAGCAAAACACCTTGATCTTCTGTGCTTATAAAATCAAGCAATTTACTGAACAATATTTGCTCATTTCTGAGTATGGATGGTTTCACCTAGAACTGTAATGATAAGCTTTAAAATCCCAAAATTGGCTCACTGCTTATGATTGTCCCTGAATGTATATGATGCATAGTGGTTAGAAGTAAACATTATGTCCATACAGCTAAAAGGAACAACAGTCACCAGAAAAACTGGATGGTAAAAGAAAATTGATTAGGCTGCTGGCTTGCATTTATCACACTGGAGTTCAGGTCCACATTCTGCTAGAGTATGATAACCCTGGACAAATTTTCTAACTGATTGTGTCTTTCGGTGAACCATCAAAAATGGGGTTAATAGCATTTCTCAAGGTTGCAATAATGTTTCAAGGATTATGTTAAAAGCTTGAAGATGCTCAAGTACCGCAAACATGCCACACAAATTGGGCTATAAATTGGGGTCCTGGTTCTGACCTTAGCAATTGTGATTCCATAGTATTTTAACACCTATTATTCTGGTCTAAATGTGTATTCTCTCCATTCTGGAAAAAGAAACAAATTAAAAAAATAGAATTCCTTTGAACTAGATGCTCTGAGTCCTTTTCTCCTCTTTAGAATTCTAGTTATCTTCATTTTTAAAAATATATCATTATCATGTGAATAGTGAAATTTAAGAGGGGAAGAGCAGTGATGTAGTTTCTGTGAATTGAGGTGTGGGATCAAGATACCCCTGATATTATCTAACTGGAACAATGTGGTTTAGGGAAAACAAAAATGTACAGATTCCTCAAATCAGGAATTTCCATCTATTAATTATTTGTAGATATTTGTAGATGTTTTGAGAACTCAAAATACAAGACTTACTGCTTTACCCTTTATTCCTTTATTATTTATCACAATATTCCTATTCATTCTTCCTTCTATCTTTCATATCCATTCTTCAGAACTGCTATCCCACCTGGCTGGTTTTGAGGGACTGGGGAGAGAAGGAGAAGGAAGACCTATTTGCTAGTGGTCAGTTGTTATTGTGACTTTGGATTTAGGACTGAAATAACTTCATTTGGGCTATTGCTAAGGCTAGTAATGTTTTATTGGCTGTATTGTAAGACTGCTGCAATTTTTCTTTGCTGTTTGATATGATTTACCTATTTTAAGGATTTTTAATTTAATAATTAAGATACTCAAGTTTTGTTTGCTTTTTATTATCATTTAATCATTTAATTTCTTTTTTTAGGCAAGACTCTTAATAGACCATTTTTTGGTGTCAGGAGGCACTTGAGAAACTGCAAGTTGCTTCTGGTGAGAGAGAATTGGCTGACTGTAAGGACATTGCCTAGGGACAGCTGGATGTTTTGATGTTTTACCATCTTTGTGGGAGGCTTCTCTCTTGTCCTTGCATGGTGAGCTGGATCTGACAGAGGGAGCTCATCCGCACTGTTCTCAGATTCGGACCTCCAACCTGTCAGTCTTTAGTCCTGCTGGCACATAGACCAAATGACATAGCAGAAATTATTACTACAATAGCAGAAACAGCAACAGTGACATAGTAGATTTAGTGGAGCTTTCCCCCAATTCAATGTGCACTAATTGCAACATTGTCACGAACTATTCCTCAGTTAAAATGATGTAACTATACCTATTTACACAGTACTCACCAAATCTGTCCTTCTTATTTGGCCGATTTCCTCTTCTTCTCATGGACAGTTAAGAATAGTGGCAGTGATATGGTAGATGTGATGATAGTCCTGCAGGGCCAATGTGGGGTTATCACTTAAGCTCTTTCGATGCTTTTTTTTTAAAAAAATCCCACACAGGTTGTCATTTGCTGAGGTGAATCTAAGGTTGGATCATGTAATGCCAACATGGCATTGCAGCAAGTTTGACAGAATGCATGTGGCCACCTCCAGTGTCAATCTGGATCATGTCTGTATCATCTATGGATTCACCAGCCAGTGTGAGTTATCACAACATTATTCATTGTGTTTTGCCATTTGTCACCTCTGATAACCCAATAAATTGCTGTTTGTAGCAATTTATTGGGTCATCCCGTAGGCTCCTTCAAAGTTTCTTTTTCAAAAAAAAAAAAAAAAATCACACACAACCTAGACATTGTGTTTTGCTGAAGTGATTCTATGGTGTGAAGATCAATTTTACTTCTTTCTTTCTTTTAGAATTATGGTCCTATATTAGCAAAAGCGTCATCCCCCAAATCACTCATGTACTACAATTATAATTGGAAAAAAATGAAAAAACAGAAGAGATTGTTCCAATATCAGAATTTTTTTTTTTAAAAAAACTAATCCAGCTGTGCTATTGGTGCTGAGAATTGCCAGTAAATAGTCCAGGACAACAGAACCATCACTTGGATATTTTAAGAAAAACCCTGAGCACAGATCTCAGAACCTCTGAACCCTTATACCTCATCTGGAAGAGCCAAAGAAAGAAAGGGGTGGGATAATCCAATAACTTTTTATCTTCACTTGGGTGAAATATCATGCTGCCCATACACATTTATGATTCAATCCATCTGTAAATAATGCACACCTTCCACTGGTGAAGTGTATAGAATTTACAAGGTATGTTTCTTGAAGAATGGCCAGGCACCTTTGCAATCATCCCAGAACTATGGTAAAGGTAAATGAATAAAAAAATAAACAAAAGCAATTTCCTCTGTGTAAAGGACAGTTATTTAAAGGTCCACATAAAAAGCTAGGTCTTGCAGAGAATAGTACAAAGTCAATAACTAGGATTGCCAAATGTTAATACAGCCTTTAAAGGCATAGAATAATTGGCTCATACGTCTTTGGAAAGAGGTGAAATCTCTTGGCAAACACCTCCTTTTTCGGAAGTCACAATTAAAGTTAAACTGCCACTTGCTTTTGAAATAAGCATTGGTTTATGATGCATTGTGGACATCATCTACTTAAGCATCATCATCATCATCATCATCATCATCATCATCATCATCATCAAGAAGTGCGTCTCCAAAAAGAGAGATAAAGAGAAAGGGATATGGAGTTGGCTAGATTCATACAGAGTTCTTCAGATTACCTGGACCTAAGCAGTATATGACTTTATAGATCCAAACTGGCACTTCAAAATGTGCCTGGCAATGAATTGATAGCAAATGAAGCAAAGGTAATTACCATTATTAAAACAGAAATGTAATACGGTGTGGAATACTGTTGGGAGTGCTTTTATGGTGCATTACTGCATGGTGGAGTGTTGGACTGGCTGGCGTTTCCAACTGTATACTTCTAAGAATCTACTGTTTTTGCTGTTCAGGTGATGTGTGGATGGGCAACTTCAAGGCCAATGTTTATTTTGGTGAGCAAAGATTTTTCTTCACCAGTTAGGAAGATTTCTGAATGACTGAATCCTAAACTTAAGAACTGGTGATTGACTTAATTATGAAGACACAAGGATGCACAGACAAACACAACTACACAGCACTGAATAATCAGGACCCTACTTTATCCAGTGGGCCTCCATTTGTTGCTGGACAACATCATCCTATGCAGATACTCAGGTCTGCATCCTAGATCAGGGCTCCTTAAATTTTTGCACTCACAACCCTGTTCCTCCTGAGAAATTTTTATATGATCCCAGGTATATAAGTACTGAAAATAGATCAGCATATGCAAGGCTTGCTAAACAGGCTGATTTCCCTTTTGTTGTTGAGTACAGCTGAAGCATTTTCTGTAAACACTGCACAGTGCTGCTAGTAGATTTCTATAAATGGGTGGCATTCAGAAACCTTTCATTGTTACCATTTTCTGACTCTGATATTGAGCTAAGGCAGGCCTGCACAGCTCCTAGCGTTCCAGGTCTTTTGAACTTCAGCTCCCAGAATTCCTGACCATTGGACAAGCTGGCTAGGACTTCTGGGAGTTACAGTCCCAAACTGGAGTGCCACAGGTTTTGCAGGTCTGTTCTAAGAGGCCCACATGTGGGGTCAGAACCCACAATCTAAGAAGCAGTGTCCTAGACAGGTTGTTGTGGGTTTTTAAGGCTATATGGCCATGTTCTAGAAGCATTCTCTCCTGATGTTTTGCCTGCATCTATGGCAGGCATCCTCAGAGGTTGTGAGGTCTGTTGGAAACTAGGAAAATTAGGTTTATATATCTGTGGAATGTCCAAGGTGGGAGAAAAACTCTTGTCTGTTGGAAGTAGATGTGAATGTTTCGATTGACCATCTTGATTAGCATTTGATGTCCTGACAGTTTTTAGGTGTGGCTTGTTAGTACCTGGGGGAATCTTTTGTTGGGAGATGATTAACTGGCCCTGATTGTTTCTTTTCTGGAGTTTCCCCATGTTTGAGTGTTGTTCTTTATTTGCTGTTATAATTTTAGAGTTTTTTAAAAATACTGGTAACCAGTTTTTGTTTATTTTCATGGTTTCTTCCTTTCTGTTGAAATTCTTCACATGCTTGTGGATTTCAATGGCTTCTCTGTGTCGTCTGACATGGTGGTTGTTAGAGTGGTCCAGCATTTCTATGTTCTCAAATAATATGCTATTTCCAGGTTGGTTCATCAGGTGCTTTGCTATGGCTGATTTCTCTGGTTAAGTTAGTCTGCATTGCCTTTCATGTTCCTTGATTCGTGTTTGGGCGATGTGTGTGTTCTAGATGACTTCTGCTAGTATATGGGTTAACTGCTCAAAAGATTTAAGAACAAATGTGAAAACTAGGTTTTTTGGTGAATCTTCTATGGTACAATATGCTTGCTATCACCATTAAGACATTCTTTTCCTGCTCACCTTGTTGCACTTTTTTCTGCATCTTTCAGTGCTGCAGCATAATAAAAAGCTTTAAAGTGGCATAGCCATTATGTGAATTCCCTTGATAAAACATGGGAAATACTCTGAACTATGAAAAAAATGTTCATTTGATAAAAAATGCAACAACAAAGAAAAGTAGACAAAGAGCGATATGAAACAAAACAAAAGTAAAACAAAAAGCATGTGCATTGTAATGAAAACATTAAACTATGCCTCTTTGTTTACACTATAATACTTAATGAATGTGGTTATTATTTTTATGAAATAACCTGAATATGTTTAGATCTATTTGAAATGCACTAGAAAGCTGTAACTTCTGTCCAAGGTCACAACGGATGCAAGGAGCCAAACCTTTCCCTTAAATTTAATCTCAGTCTCATCACAAAGTACATTGTGAAGAGACAAAAGTAACCATGGTAACACAACACATACAAAGCTTTATAAATTCTTTTTCTATTCTTAAAAGAATTAAAAGCAATGCAAATAAAACAAATAAAAGTATTTCAATTGTTAAGGAAGGATAAAAATGTTTTACTTCAACTTGATAAATGATGTTGTCAACATGTATTTTGCATTATTAATTTGGCTATCATTATGGGCTGCATAACATTTTGCTGGGAAACTACAAAGACACTCTTTGAATAAATTGGATCCACAAATACTAAAAGAACTGAAAGAAATAATTTCAGAACAACTGACAATCATCTTTGAGAATTCATGGAAAACAGCAGAAATCCTAGTAGACTGAAATAGAATACATATTGACCCCATCTTCAAAAAAGGGAAAAAGGAAACCCAAACAATGACCACCTAGTCAGCCTGACATTGATACCAGAAAAGATTTTGGAACAGAGCATTAAGGAAGGAGTCTGTGGATGTAGTATATCTTGATATTGGTAATGCCTTTGACAAAGTCCTCCATGATATTTCTGCAAATGATCTACAAACATAGAGGTTAGAGTCTTACTCAACTATTGAAGGGGAGACATCAGTAAAGGTCTTTGATGCACCAACAGTTTACTAGAAGGTGCCCTATACAAGAAGGAACTTCCCCTATATAAGCAAGAAAGCTTATAAAGACTGAGCAAGGTCCTCCCACAAAAAAGTAATCAAACCTGTATTTAGGGATGTGGGTCTTTCATAACTATAAAAATGCACATATCATATAATTTCTGAATGTGAACAATATGGTAATTTTACCTAATATCATATGGGTAAGCTTATTGAACTCAATACAGCTTGAGTTCCCCTTATCTGAAAATCTAAAGTCTTTCAAAATATTCCAAAACTCGAACCATTTGCCCCCAACGACTCACTTTTGCCTTTAGGGAAAGGGGCTAGTGGCCTAATGAATACCCACTGAGTTTTTCCTAAAGGAGTCATGATGGAGGAAGTGAAGGACTCTGCTTACATGAGACCCCTGTAAATAAAACAGATGTTTCAGTTGAGCATGGAGTAACCCCACTGCCTATAGTACGCAACTAGATCAGACAGAATGAAAAAGACTTGCAGGGTAGGATGAAGAAGGATTTTCCCCTCCCTTCCTGGCTACTTTGCTGAAAAGTGCTAAGTGTGCTGATAGCCCTTGAGTAAAAGCCCAGCAAGTTTTGAACATGTAAGCAGCTTTCATTTTCCTTATACCATTTCCCTCCAAAATCCCCAAAAAACTTTTGATCCTAAGCATTTTGGATAGGGGAGACGCAACCTGCGCTTTCATTCTGTACTTTAGTGGAACACAAACTTGTAAATTGCTTCTTATATGCCACGAATGGGTCTCTTACTGCTGTGTTAAAAACCTGTTAACACTTGCTCAGAAATTGGAGACACATCTCAAAATGTTCAGAGTTAGTTTTGTTTCTCCAAAAAACTATTTTCCAGTAAATTGTTTGAGAATTTCTGATCTAAAATATGATTGTAAATGGATCCTGAAGAAGACAATGAAGAATATACAGACATCCAAATGGGTAATGTTTTTGTACTAATAAATCAATCATCCCCTTCAGCATCTTGAGATGTGTCTCCAGTTCTCCAATGGGTTCCATTGGCTACTCTCCAGTTTCTACTTCAAATGCCAAATCAAGCCACCCCCTGATGCCCATCCTGTCTAGTATACATCTTCAAAATTAGAAATGTTCTAGTGAAACCCGACAAACTTTTCCTGCTTCTAAAGAGGAGGTTTGCAATAAAAAAAAGAAAAGAAAGAGGTTTTGTTTTGAGATAAAATCAGGATGGGAACAAAATGCTGCACGTAAGTGCATAAAACGTGTCTCAGGGCATTTATCACTTACTGTGGTGTAGTGGTTTGAGTGCTGGACTACAACTCTGGAGATCAAGGCTTGAATTCCCACTCAACCATTTGAAACCCACTGGGTGATCTTGGGCAAGTCATACCCTTTCAGCCTCAGAACTATAGGCTCCTCTGAACAATTTCTTCCAATAAAATATGGTTTTAGGTTGCCTGTGGGCTGAGAGGGGTGGTATATAAATGTAGGAAATAAATAAATAAATAAATAAATAAATAGGTTTGCCTTAGGGTCTGAAATGACCTTCAGTACAGCACAACTATTGTATCTGCATAACCCATATGCATGGTTTCACTTATCCATGGTTCCATTCACTCACATCCTCTTCTCAGTACTTCTGTTGTCTGCTCTATTGATAATAATAATGTTCATTATTATCCACATTCATGTATACATGTGACTAAGTGTTTCCCCTGTAGATAAGTAGGTCCTATTGTGCGCAATAGACAATTTTATTTTATCTCTCTACAGCTAGGTGCTTCTCATCTAAGTTCTAATCCTTTTTTGATTTGGCTCTTCTCTGACCTCTCCTAATTTGTCTATAATCACAAAGCAACAATTAGATTTTTAAAATAGGGGGAGAGATGAGAAATACCTTCTAGCCATGATAGACTTGGACAAAAAACCTTTGAAAGGCAAAGAAACGGAAAATGTTATTATGCACATCTTGAAGACTAAAGAAAGCAAGAGAGAAAAGAATGCCCTATAGGGAACTTCCTTGATTTGATAGAAGGCTGATTCTATGAACCAACTAGAATTCAAGAGAAGCACAAGGTATTATTGTTTCAGCTGTGAGATATATTTTTGGATGGATCAAAATAGGTTTTTGCAATCTCATTATCAGGCGAACGCCTCTGGAAAGAGTAACGTTACCCTTAGTTCAGATGAACAAATCCAAAGTTTATAACATATTAACTGTTTAGATGACTATTGGACAGAAAAGTGGTGAAAGCTCATGATTTATACTGCTGCAACCAAAAAGAAACTATATGCATTCATGAGTGACTGAGACAATGCAGTCTGTATTACAAGTCAATTCTCATTAGCTCTTATTTACTGGCTGTAATTTTCCACCAGATAATGCAGAATTGTTTAAAGACAAATAGAGAATCAACTTTTGTATTTGAACATAAATTCATATAACAGCATGCATGATCACCACCACCATATTTCTACCTCCCAGTGCTTCGTCACAATCACAACAATCCATTAGACTGTGTGCATTGGCAATTTATCTGGAAGTTGTTGGACTGTAGCCTCCACCATTGCTAATCATAATTGGTGTAAAAACTAAATTCTACCAGAGCCTAGAAAAGTTGTAGGTTATAGCTCCCAAAATTCCCCCAGCTATAACAGTCCATAGTCAGAATGGCTGGGAGTTTGAGGGAGTTGGAGTCTGAAAATAAGTTTTTCAATATGTATCATGCTTATAGAAAATAATGACAATGGTAATATTGAAATTGATGTTTGGTGTAACGGGAACAGATATTATCTTATGAAAAGTATTATTTATAAGCCCACATTTACTAGATAGGATGATATACAGGTGAAGAATCCATCCTACTGATTTTTCACTGGAAACATCCATTGTAATGATCATTTCCTTCAGTTGGGTGTACTTTTGTTTCTGGCTTATCTCACACACATATATCAGTGGTTAAATTAAGCTGCAGTGATAATTGATTCTGACATGAGTCCCCACATCGATGTTAAAATAAAACACAAGTTTGGGAACTCTCTATGTCTTCATTGTTGCTTTGATGTGTCTTCAGGTCAGCTCTAATTTATGGCAACAATATCATAGGTACCCATGCGAAGAAGAACAAGGGCAAGCCCCTTCCTCCTGCCTGATCATGATGTCAGTACAGGGTGCTTGCAATAGCCAGAAGCTCATAGAAGGTGCTGCAGTTGTTGGGAGTGGCAACAGCAGGAACACAAACCTAGAATCCCCATTCCCCTACATTAGTTACCTTTTTCCTATGATGATGAATGTAGGGAAATGGGGATGCCAGTAGTGCACTAAGTGCACAGCGGACCAGTCAGAATTGGACCTAATTTGCTGTTCCCACTGCTCTGAAGTGATGGAGTCACTCCAGAGTTTCAGACAAACTCCAGAACATTTTCTGACTTTTCTCAATGCATGCTAAACCAGATTAACCTGATTGACCTCATAATACTCAGCAGAAATTTCAGAACATCATGGGGACAGCCAGTATTGTATTGTTATTAGGCACATTTAGATGAACCCTAAGAGAGAATCTAAAACCATTCAGTTGGTTTATATGGCTAATTGGGGATTTGAACTATAATCTCCCTAAACTGAAACCATTACATAACACTGTAATCCTTTGTAGTAGAGTCTAGTTTCACCTGAAATCACTACATTAATATCATGTATTTTCTAATCATGGAAATAGTTGAGCTTCTTGGGCAATTTTCCATCAAGGTGTTGTCTACATACAGCAGTGGCTCTCAACCTATGGGTCCCCAGATGTTTTGGCCTTCAATGCGTTGCGCAGAAATCCTAACAGCTGGTAAACTCGCTGGGATTTCTGAAAGTTGGAGGCCAAAACACCTGGGGACTTCAAATTAATGGGGAAATCTGTTATTGTTTTCAAGTAAAGACTCTGCCCTAAACCCCATTGGTTAGTCTAAGGTACTGTAGACCTAATGAACCAATTATTATATAGTGAATAAATATAGTTGATAAATCCCATTAAGTGTAGCAGGAACTAATAATAGAATTTTGACATGTGTGTCTCTTAGAGTTCTTACCTTTCAGTCCTTTCTTTGCAATGGAATTCAGTTGCTTCTGAAAGCATAGATATATTTCAATAATCAATATTATTATCATGAATTACATCATCATCAACAACAACATTTTAGCAGGTGACCAATTGGACGTTGTGCTGAAGCATAACTATTAAAGTTTCCTGCATTTCACAGTAGGGAGATGAAACCACAGTCCAAACATCCTCTTAAACCAAATACACAAGTATGCCGATCAAAGACTGGATTTAATGAAATTTTACAATGTAATGTCAATAGTGCTGTTGCCTGCATTAATGTTTCTGAAATCATCATACTGCTTTGTGTTTACACAACCTTTTCTCTTTTTCCACAGATGTTTTGCACCTCCTTGAAATAGCTCTGTGTAAAGCTGAATGAATCCACCACACTCTGTGCAGTAGATAGCTACGTGCAATTCTGAATGGGACATGTACTGCTATCATTGAGAATGTCCAGCAACTGCGGGTTTGCTGAATGAAAAATTCAGCCTTGGAAGTGTGATAACACACCACTAGATGGCATCTTTAGAGAGGTTTCATTATATCTCGAATTGTTCACTCCACCATTCATAGAATACTAGTTGAGAAAGCCCATCTTATAGAGGGGGGAAAAACATCAATGAACAAGCAGATGGTGAAGACAGAAACTTATATTTTAGATTTAACTTTGGATGATACATATCTTAAATTTTGGCCTTTCCTTTGCAAACTATTTGAGACTTGGGTCTTTATTTTTCCCAAGCTATAAACAGTAAAAAGTATGTCTAAAAGAAAGGCAAGAACTTCTAAAACATAATTAAAGGCAATTGAAATATATAATGGCACTGTGTTTCCATGCAATTCATTTGATCCCAAATGCATTCTAATTGAAGGTTCAACATTAGTTTAAAATGAATGGAGCTGACAAAAAATGCACAAATTGCCTTGTGAAATTAGCTAAATTTTGGCATACTATGTTTTGGTTGATGAATAGAACAAATTGATATGGCAGTGATTTAAAGGAGAGGCTGTGATCTTTGTTGTTGCAGGGAAATATGTACATTACTGATAGGAAAATAGCAGTTTTAAACAGGCCATGGCTTTCTGAAAGGAATGTGGTATATAATTTTGTCTATATGTGTATAAGGGAGAGGGAGGAAGAGAGAAAGTAGTGTGATTAGTTTGAATGGCTGGGAACAGTGTTGTCTGCAGGCTACATGAGAGCCAACGTGGTGTAGTGCTTTTAGTATCAGATTAGAGCTCTTGAGACCAATGTTTGAGTCTCCATTTGACCGTGGAAACTCACTGGATAACCTTGATCAAGTCACACTATCTCTCTTTCTCTCTCTCTCTCTCTCTCTCTCTCAAAAAAAAAAAAAAAAAAGCAAAAGGAAGCCTCTTTTGAATAAAACCTGCTAAGAGGTTTCATTATATCTCTAATTGATTGTGCCACCATTCATAGAATACTCATTGAGAAAGCCCATCTTATAGGGGGAAAAAAGTTTCATATTTGGATTACTAAGTCAGAAGTGGCTTGAAGACACATAATAATACCCATTAGTTACTTCCAAATTCTGCTTGTAATATGTTTGAACTTACAGATATTTGATGAACTACAACAGATCTCTTGATCTGCAAGAACATACACTCCAGTAGCAAAGTGGTGTTTAGGCTCACAAGATTGAAGAAGTAGCAGGGATATTAACACTATCTCTCACCATTTTTCAACTGCCTTGTCTCTTTATACTCATAGAATACCTCTGAACTCCACAGTAACTGATGGGAAGATTTTTTTTCAAGCAACAGTTTTGGGAAACATCTGTTTTCATGCTATCCAAAGCATGGCTTGGTCTTCAATGGGTAATTAATGTCCAACAGCAGTTACCAAGACGAAACAAAAATCCTGCTTCCAGTGGAGCTAAAAACATGGATGTAGAAAGCTAACCTGTTCTTTTGACTCATCTTAGCAACTGCTGTAATTAGCAAGTGTATTTCAGGATTTATCACTTTTCAATAACTCCCTGCAGAAATGTGCATGTTGTTATAAACATGTCCAGAAAGAAAGCCTTGTCTTGCAGACATGCTCATTTGAAGACTTTCATGAAATTTGGAGACTTGCAGAGAATGTCTAAGATTTGCATTAAAAAAACTCCTCAGGGAAAAAATTGCAAGGGAGAAAAAAATCTTTAAAGTTCTGAGTGTGTTCAGTATCCACTGAATACTAACTTGAGCAGAGAAGAGAAAATAAAAGAAAGGAAGAGAGTATTCTTGAGGGGAGAATAGCTGCTAGAACCTTCAAAACATTGTTCCAAGTTCCACCTTTAAAAAAATGCAAAGGGGAGAACTCTGGTGCCAAATTCTGAGTCTTCATCAAACTGTTCTTTCTACACATCCAAAGGATATGTTGTGAACATACTTGGGAGGGAGAAAGTAGGAACATCAGGCAGCAAACCCTGAATGGTCCTTTTACATAGCTATAGGCTGCTTTTTCAGACGAATTATATATGTATAATGAACCTGCTGATTCAACCCAGCACTTTTTCAAATGTGCATACTTCTGTACATTTGAACTCATGGTGGGGATCATGTTGGCTGCACGGTTTTGCTTTCAAGGTGGCAAGGCTTCTTTTTGAAACAGAAAAGGGCAGCTGGTGGGGCTTGCTGACACCATACACCTTTTAAAATAGGAATTTGAGCATTTTTTTGTATTTGGAACCATGGACACACTGCACATTGTGCAGCTTCCACTAAGGTGGATTAGTGCCTCCATTTCAGTTTAACTCAAAGACCCTGTTCAGTTGGAACTAAACCCCAAATTGCACTGCCCCCTTATCTGGGAACTATCAGCTGCTTCTGCACTTTTGAAAACCCCGAGAACAATGATCTCTATGTGCATCATTAGTTTGCTATTGCCTAGTTTTCTCACATGTATATTCTAGACACACAACTATTCTTCCATGGGGCAATTGCTCATACAAAATCAGAAACATTAATAGGAACAAATTAATTATTATAATCAAACCCACCAAACTGAAATATACATAGAAATGATTTTATGGCAAGCGTTTAGTTCATCCCTTAGAAAATGTAGAAGTGGCATTTTTTTGGGGGGGGGGGAGTCTTTCTGGGAAATGTGTCTTTTCTCACATCTGAGAAGGCCAGAAGGGAAGAAGCTTGGTTAATGGGCACAAGAACTTCATTAGGCAACAATTCCTGCAGAGGTCATGCTGTAGTTACCAGGATCCCACTTACCAAATGATGACTTGCATTGACTGATTCATGAAGCCAATAAGAACAGAAAATAAAGGCTCATTTGAAAACTGAAATGGATTGCTGAGCTGTGGCCTCTTTGAAGAATGAAGACCTGTGCTTTATTTGTTGAACCATCAAGCAGCTTAACCATATGTGCATAGAGAGTACTGTTTGCTTAAAAGAAGATGAAGCCTAGATCTGCTGGGCATTTCTGTTGGTGAATTGTAAAGCTGTACTGTTAAAGGAGGATAATGGAAGACAGTCGTTGGTGAAAGATTTCTAAAAATAATGATAATTGGAATAGGCTATGGGAGATGACAAACTTCCTTGAAATGAATGTAAGGGAGAAGTACGAATTATACACTTTGAAAATGACCAGAGAATTTAACTAAATCTTTTTAACAGCATTGATTTTATAGAGAGATGCAAAACCAACAGAGCTACAGTGCTTGCTAATCCATATATACCCAAGAAATATAAACATGGTTGTTAGCAGCTTTGCAGATTTCCAAGAAATGTTGAACTCCCTCTGATACCAAGTGATAGGGGCAGTAAATTGTAAAACAGAATAAAGCACTCATTCATTTCTTCCTGTCAGATTCCAGTCAGATTTTTTTTTTTTTTTTTTTTTTTTTGGAAATGGAGGGGATAGTCACTTTTCTATCTAGTGGTCATAATTTCTCATACTTATTTCTCTTGGTAGTTTGAAAAATCTTTTCACTTGGCCTGCTTAACCATTGGCATGATGCAGAGCCATTGTTTTGTAAAGAGATAGATAGTTCATGGTATCCTCTTTTAGAGAGTCAATAGACCAAATAAACAGTACAACCACAAGAGAAAAGCATGTAAACATTGTAAATCAATTCTGCTTGAGATCTTTGCACCTCTGCATTTCTACATACATCTATACTGGATTTTAATTCCTTTAATTTGCAGTAGTAGATTGTGTGTGAGACAAACAAACAGACAGACAGACAGAGAAGGAGGAGGAGGAAGCTTTGATGGCCAGAGGGGTAAGCGTGCATTTGTGGTTATTCTGTTGTGTTCACCCCAGTGATTTGAGTGACATCAAGGCTATGCTAAGGGCAAGAAAATATTGAAGCTATCAAGAATTCAACACAGATTTAATTGCCCTGCTCACTGGCAATATGGTGGCGATGGGAAGCTGTGATACATTCAAGTCTCTGAGTCACAAAGACTTATTAGAATAATAGCCAGTGAAGTGTGTTGTTGGAGGACTTCTGTTAAGCTGTTTACAATCAATTGCCTTGGCAACTTGTGGATATTTCCAAAGGTCTTCCTTGTGCATCTCATCAGTCACGCACCACTCCAGGGCAAAAATCACAAATCATGCCAAAGTTATCATGACAGCCTCAGCATGGAAGAGCAGCAAGAAAAACAGCCTGATTATATGAAACTATAAATGAAAGAAGCTTTTCCTCTCCAGCTAGATTGGACCCAACTTTTGAAATGAACTGCACCAAGAACTATCTTTACCATTATCTTCTTGAAAGCATCATATTTGCTTTCCAGCATCCATTCACACAGATTCAAATCAGACTTTATTTGTCTGTCCTGTCTACCACAGACTACAACTAAATGGACTCCATTGTTCATTTGGCTATTAATGTTGAAAGCATCAAATTTGTTTTCCTGCTTCTATTCACATAGGCCCAAAACAGGCTTCATGTGTCTGTCCTGATTCAGGTTATAATTATCAGGAATGCTATGAGATGAATTGTTTTAAAATTCATTTAAAAAGTCCACTCAAATGATTCAAGAAGTAATTAAAAGGCAAAGATTAAAAAAATGCCCAGGAACCAAAAGCCAAAGCTTGGGAAAGTGGCTTTTTTTGGAGGTCAAACTCTAGAAAACTGAGGAAGTTCAGGTTGAAGCTGTAGTTCATGCCCAATGGGTAAATGATGTGTACGCTCGTAGTACCAATCAGTTATAATGGATAATTAAGGCTGTAATTTGTTTTCAGCACAAAGTTCTCAGGCTTAGTGTATTTCCTAGCATTTGGGGCTCTGTCACTGTTACCACTGCTTTTAAGACAATATCTGAGACAACTGAATTTCAACTTGATTCATGTAGCATCACGATATCAATTACTTATACCATATATCTCACTGCCCTGGGCATAAGTCACCTTGGCATCCTTTTTTGCTCTAATTCTGGAAGCATGAAGGCTGGATGAGAGTTGAAGCAGGGGACAAAAGTGATGCTGAATATTTAACACATGACCCAACCAAGAGAGAAGAAATAAAGGAAGGTGCTAATATATAACCCAGTCCTAATTCTCCCATCCTTTAATATGGCATGGTTGGAGTTGCACAGGGTAGAACGAGAAGGTCAAACTCCAGTTACTCTCTTGGTCTCTGTTCCTCCCCTCTCCTGTAGCATTTGGACAGATGGGGAAAATCTTGCATTTCAGCCAGATGTTTATAAGATAGACCAGGAATGGGCAAACTTCAGCCCTCTAAGTGTTTTGGACATCAACTCCCACAATTCTTAACAGCCTACTGGCTGTTAATTGTGAGAGATGAAGTCCAAAACACCTGAAGGGTCAAAGTTTGCCCATGACTGAGATAGATGAAAGTTTGGTTGTTGTTGATTTAAAAAACAGATGGCTGTGTTTTATCCATTATGCCTGTTTCTGTATTTGTTCTATTGTGGGGTTTTTTCTTGCAGTTCAGGATATAATTGTATTTTTGGTTGCTTTACTCACTTGCCATGAGTTTTACACAATAAAGTAACAATAGGTGTGGTATTTTTTTCTTATGAAATAAATCAAGAAATGCATAAATAAATATATGAAAATTTGTCTTTTAGTTTGGTTCTGTAGTATAAATGTCATTTCAATCCAGCAGCTTCTTATTTTAAATTACAAGATTTATTTATTTATTTTTCTTTTGGCCCAGGATTCTCCAAAACACATTATCATTTACTAGATTTGGATCTTTGTAGCATGCTTCAGCCCTACACATTGTGACACACTTGTCTTGCATTTGCTAGGGAAAAAATGTTAGAGTTCTTAAAAGCTTTCTTCAAGTGCAGGATGAGATTTACAAGCACCAAATTAATGAAAGATGCCTGTGTGTCATAG